TTAGGTCGTAACAAACGACAACCTCGGAATCCTAAAGCGAGTTAGGGCTTATATTGTATAGTAGAGCCATACAAAGGCCTAAAGAAAAGTTGAGGATTTATGTCGCACTCAGCGGACAACCTCGAAATCCTACAGCTTGTTGTTTAATTTTAAGAAATGGTTGTGTTGTCGTAGAACGTCATGCTGTTGTAGATTGATGCCCATGAAGTTAGCTCCAAGCTCTTCGAAAAAGTAGCAGGTTTAAGTTTAGAAGTGTCAAATTGTAAAGATTGTGAGAAGGATCAGGTTTAGAGGTCAAGTTTTCTAATGTGTCAAGTTTTGATGTCAAATTAATTGTCTCCTAAGGTTATAGTTATTTAAATATCATGGGGGATGTTAAAGTTGATTAGAGCGACACAGGTTAGGATCCCGCGGTTCCCTCGTTCTGGTACCACTATTTTCTTTTGAATGTAGATTAAACAAGTTATTACACTTATTTAAACCGGGGAGATCTCGTTAGCAACCATGGGTTACCTCGTCTAAGGGAATCATGTAAATTTAAAAGAGCGTTTTATAGTTAGTGATATTTCAAAGGATTTATGGTTACCTTTGAAACAATTTGTTTTAGATTTTGGTAATGTTAATTAATTTTGAAAACTGGTTTTGTTTTGCACGTAATTGAAAGTACTCAACCAAGCAGTTTATAGTATTTTGCAGAAATTAAATAACTATAAATGTGTACCTGTCATCTTCTCGACATTCCAACTGAAATGATAATCTCTTGCAATATTTATGTATTTTGCAGGGGACTAAGTAAGATATGCAAGTTTTGAGTAGTTGAAGGTGTAACTAACAAACCCCCAGTTATGACGTATTGGGTCCCGAAAGATCTTAGAGAATGATTTTAGAACAAAATATGGTAAGTTCAGTTTGTTCTTCAAAATATCTAAAAGATTTCAATATGTCACAGGAATGACCATAGACCACTTTGAAACTCTCTTGAAACATTTTGAGCTTTTCACATTGTTCTATTAATCATCCAAAATTAAGGCTAAGGCTATCCTATTGCTCAGTGAACCCTGACTTTCAATTGTCTCAAGAATAAGAGAATCACAATCATTCGAAATTTTATTTGAAAGTAATGGTAGAGGGTGCCCCAATGGGACAAACTCAAGGTAATTGAGGATCTTTAATGCCTCAAGTTAAGGTAGGTTTTAAAGGCATTTGAAAAATATTGATTGATTTATGATGTATAACTTTTCTAATCCCAGTTAAAGAACTCCTACATATCAAAACCTAACTCATTATTAGGCTTTCTCAATTTTAATTTTCAAAGTAGATTTAAGATAATTAAATATAGAATGAAATGAGATTTCAATTTTCATTAATATCATGCTTAACACCTAATCATCAATTGATGGGCTTCAAATGAGTGAATTAATCGTTCTATAACATCAAGCCCATTAACTTTAGGATCATCCTATTGAATTGATTTCCAAGTTGTAATGATTGGCAAAGTGGCACTTGTATCTTTATTATGGGACAAAGGACAAGTTGGTTTCTACCGTTTGACCCATTGTGTTTCAAACCTCTAGGAGAGTTAATTATGATCAATATTTCACATTTACACTTTGATTAATCCTAAAATTTGGTTGGGATATTAAATTCCAAAGATACCATTTTGCCCCTAGGCTTCCCACGTCATAATTTATCAAATAAAACTCAAGCATCTTTGAAATTTTGTGGTGCCTCATTAATGAGTTAATTAAAGCATCAGAGGAGAAAATGTGATTTTTCAAAGTTTAATCACAATTTAAATGATTATTTTTATCTTGGAAAATAAGGTTTTCAAAATTATTTATTTAATTTACTAAGACAAAATAAAAAATTATATATATATATATATATATATATATATATATATTTATATTTAAGATTTATTTTTATTATATT